GTGATTGGTCAAAAATACCCTGAAGGTAATTTGTCAATGCGTTGATGATAGTGCTGTCAACGAGGCTCAAGTTTGGAGAAAAATGCCAAATACAGAGCAACACTTCTCTATTTGTGTAAACTTAGAAAGATGTCAAAGCATCTCTCTGAAGAGTTCATCAGGCAGATGCTTGAAGGGATTAAATGAGGCATCTGATCTTTTTGTTTCAGTTATGGAAGCTTTGGGGAATCATGATGTGCTCAGTGGATATGATGAGTCGGCAGAGATCTTATTAGCAAAACCGTTGTGTATTATTCAAAGAGCTAGGGGGTGCTTCTGTTGCTGCATCTGATTAAATTATTATTATCCTTTTGAGTTTTGACAGGCAGAGCTTCTCTTCAAAAACTGGTGCTAAAAAACAAGACACAATGAAATAGCTGAATTACAGTCTTTTTGGTACATGTCTCTCAGCACACTAGTTTACCCACAAAGGTCCTGCTGAAAATAGTGCTATAAAGGATTTCCCCATTTTAATTTATATGGAAAACTTTGGGGTGCCCTAGAAAGATCGGGATAGCTTTACAACAGTAAAGAAATGTAGAAAAACAAGAGTCTGGAGTGCTACCAACTATCTTTTTGATGTAAAAAGTTCCTTGTTTCATCCTGGATTGTGAACCTGACAATCTTTAATCCTTGACCCCTGACCTTCTTGCATCTTTATCTTGGTTCCTGTTATTTTGTGTGATACCCAGGTGCTTGTGGCTGTGCAGTATGCCCACTGTCTTGCCTTCTGCCAGCTACTTCGGTCAAGATAACCTGTCCTCTTTTTGCAACCACTGAGCCACACTTATTTTGCCTGAATTACTATGATGTTCTGGTGAGGTGGATCAGTGAGTTTATCTCTGACTTGCTCCTGGTGTACAGCTTGATGTCGTCCATGTACAGAAAGTGGCTGATTGCTACTTCATTCCTGAATCTCTATCCACATGTGCTCTTTGGTGTAGTAGCAGAGGCTGGTGAGGCCTATGCAGAATAGGGACAGTACATTGCATTGGTATAATCCACACATGATACTGACTTGTGCTTTTGAGGTTGTCTTTAGTTTTGTCTTGCACAGTCCAATTGGTGTTATCACTGCACCATTAGCTTTGTATATGCCAAGCACTTCAGTATCCCTATGTGGGGTATTGAGTTCTACGCTTTCTTGTAGTCAGTCCTGGGTGACTCAGGTTAATATCCCTGGTTTTGGAGTCGTGGTGTACTGCTACATCAACCCCAGTAGGTGCTTTGACCCTCTGGTGTTGTTTCCAATGCCCTTCTGAGCTGCACTCATGTGTTGACTTATGTTCATACTCAGATTGGTTGCTATGATGCCTGTGAGGAGTTTACAGGCAATCACCCTGTCATGACCATGATTGTTCTGTCTTGTGTTATCTAGTCTGGGTGAGTAACTGTTAGCAGCCCACTTATTGTGCTGTCAGAGTCCTGATGCTGTTGGATGTCTACTTTAGTGATGTCAACTGGATCTCGTTCTGGGATGTTTAGGTCCACTGGCCACTTGGTATTGGTGTTGTGTGATTCCTGTTTCTCCCCAATGTTCCTATAATATTTATCAGTCAGCTCTTGGTGGGTCTAATGGTGTGTCAGGTGGTCTTTCTCCGATCGATCCGTTGCAGCTAGGAGGACACCCTCTCAATTAACACCCTTCCTTGATTTAACTCCATAGGGATTTGTCTCTGCACATATTCTGGATCTCATGTTCAGGTGTTTCTAAGTTAAGTTCTGCGAGTGTTACTGTGACAGTGTCATATACAAGCTTATTGATTCCTTTTACCACAGTTGCCACAATTATTATTCACAGCTCAGTGGATTCATTTGTCATGTGTCAGGTGTCTGGACATCATTTTGTTCTTTAACACTGTTCTCTTCTACCAAGTTTGGTAATTATTTCAAATTAAGTAATTATTTCATTCAAATTTTACAAATTTGTCATGTTTAAATGTTTCGGATCATCAAACAAATATTAATGTTTGTCAGAATAGTGTGAGTAAATACAAAATGTAGGGAAATGTAAGGGAATGTGTGAAAGAGTAATTTTTACCTAAACCTCATAACTGGTTATACCATCCTTGGAAGCAAAAACTGTAATCAAGCTTTTGTAATGACTGACAGTCAGTGTTTTACATTAGTGCTGAGAAATTTTGGCCCCCACTTGGGCCACACTTATTCTGCTGATCAACCTAAATATGCTTGTGGACATGAGATTATCACCAGACATTTGCTTTTTCTAGATTTCTGGATTTTCTGAGCAGAATCCATGGTTACATCAATTACAGCAAGTCGTCCCAGTCCTGAAGCAGTAAAAGCCCATGACATTACCACCACCATGTTTGACTATTGGTTAGATGTTCTTTTTATATGCTATTGAGAAACAGTGTGGTGGTGGAAACTGTGTTACTGTCAGCTGAAGACAATGAAGAGAAGAAGGAGAAAATGTAAAAGGGGCAACAAGAGAGAAGGAAAGTAGAAGTCTGGAGGTGAGAGTAGGGACTCTAAATGTAGGGACTATGACTGGTAAAGGGAGAGTTGGCTGTTATGATAGAGAGAAGTAAGTTACATATATTGTGTGCGCAGAACACCAGGTGCAAAGCAAGCAAAGCCAAGAGCAATGGGAGTGGATTCAAGCTATTTTAGGTCATTCAAGTTTCTTAAATGGAAAAATATGCAGATTCTTTTTATACTAAATTTGCACAGGCTTTAAATTTTTTACCTTAGGTATATTACCTTAATTTATGGCAAAGCACCACTGTCTCAGCAAAGCTGCAGCAGCAATTTTAGTTTTATATAAGGTGTGAGGATGAATAAAGATAAATTGTATCACAGAAGAGCTGCTATGCATGCTGGGGATGATCCTCTTGGTCTTTAAACAAATTAATTATACCTGTCAGAAAAATTTTAATTCGAATCACTGTCAAACATGTAAAACCCCCTCAGCGGTAGGGAGCCTTATAAAAACAAAGGTATCCTTTGGATTTCCATTATTTGGTGTTCTCTATGCTACTTCCTCTATCAAGTACCCTAATTTTTAACATTTTATTAGAGAGGGTACAGCTGTTGGAAGGGATGTTTGTTTTCAATAGTTCCACCATCTGCCTCTTTAGCTTCACACTCTTCATTCGCAATGAGGCAGTCCTTTTCCTGCTTGGTTGAGCACCCTGTGTGCCATAATAATTCATGCACAGGAGGAAAAACATACCAAGGGGCACTTAAAAACAATATAAAGCAGAAGAGAAAAAATAAGGCAATGTTTTTTTTACTAGTGTTGTCCTCTTGGACTTTTAGGAAGAGATATGTTTTGATCAAGATTCAAACTATGTATCAGCCCACCAGTAACAAGGCTCTAGGATACCGATATGTTAATGTTCATCTTGGGAATTCATGGTTGAGACCAAACAACAAGTTATGCGAATGAATTAGAATTGAACTGATGTGAATCAATGAAATTGATTTAGTGTTGCAAGGTTTTGCTTCTAATGTTACATTAATGTCTGGTTTATTTGTTTGTTTGTAACGCCATCACTTTCAGTAGTTTTATTCTATATAACAAAAGGCTTTTCTATTCAGAGAGCAAGTCTCAGAATCACTTTACTCACTCTAAACTTAAACTTACTTTTGATTGACCTACATGGCTTCTGATGAATTTACCATAGATTATTAGGTTGGATCTTAATGCTGAATTCTCTTTCATGTGTCGGTTTATAGGGGCAAGGTTTCACTTGTGCACCAACAGCTCTTACTATCCCAATCAACACATAGGATAATACGGATGTTCTACATCACATCATGGTCCCTGGTTTTCTTCCTTGTTTTGAATTCTTAGTTAATGTTACTGGGTTTTCTATTCTAGTGTTTGAAGTTTTGAAGTTAGTTTTCATAGTTTTAGTTTCTCTTTATGCTGTACTGCTTTTGTTATCAGCTTAAAATAAAGCTTGCTTTTCATTACACTCCGTCTGCATTTAGGTCCAGCTTACACGTCAATCCTGCATGTGGTCAAATTATACAGATTTTATCAGAGTCATATGGATCAGAGACCAAGAGTTTCTTTCTATTTGCTATTGAATGTATTTAGTTCTGTCTCCTTTCTTTCCTGTCTTGCCCATATGTGGTCATACTGGTTTGCAGATTTAGGTCCAACACAAGATCTGTCAAATTATTTGTACAATTTTTCTGTGTTCCAAGATGTTTTGTACAAGATAAATATACACTAAAGACATCCAATCTTTGTTTGAATGTCTGAAACCAGGCAAAATGAAACTGGAGTAGAGAATAGAAGTAGTACTTTTAAGTAATTCTAACTAGGGTTTGCTTTCAGCAGGACAACTGATGCTGCTGATCACAACTTTAAAGGCCTAATTTCTGACAGGACAGGTTCCCTCTAATCAAACCTGGAGGCAACAGATGTTCCCACAGAGATGCTCTGTCCTGTGGGACTGACAGAATTAATAATTTCAAGTGTGTCTTTAGTAATATGTAACAGTCAATGAACCATGAACTTGTACATTCATCTGTACAACACACCATAACAAACACAACAACAATGTGTGACAAATTGATCTGTGTCTGCTTTCCTTGCCTGCTGCACAGAAAGCAGATTTCACATGGTCGCTGTGGTCAATATCACTGACCTGGATATCCAGCTGCTTTCCAACATCATCCATGTCAATACACAAATTCATTATACATGCCCACATACAAACCACTGGTTGCCTGTTGATCTATAATGCTATTTTAAAAAGGAAAAAAATAGAATTGATGGAGTTACCATATGGTAATGATTTGGTTGGCATCCAGATGACTATCAGGCCTCTTTGGGATCTCGTTGAATACTGAGCTGGATCAGTGTAAAGTGTGTCACACTGCAACAGCTTGGGTGCACTGTTGGAAGTCAGGACAACTAGGGCAGATGATTGAAACTGGGCAAAGCCAGAGGACAGAAACTAATAGGACTGACTGAGCCTGACATGGTTCATTTATGCGTTTCCATTTCAGATGATGGTCCCAGACTTGAGTCTGTACAGAAAGGATTACCAGAGTCTGTGCAAATTAGAGGAAGGAAGGCAATTTACATGGCTACTTTACGGCGACAGCGTTCCAGAGCAACCTCAACTCGGCAAGATCGTGGTTCCTGCTCTTCTACGGCATCTTGCCCCGTCTTCTCTGGACCCTACAGTGACCATGAAGAAGAGCCTCAGCTGCGTCGCCAATCCTCTCCTTTACTCAAAGGTTCCTTTTCCAGCCTGCAGGGGTCTGTTCCATGCATGCAAGGATCTTTGTCAAGTCTTGACGAACCTTTGTCTAACTTTCCGAACTCTTTACCCAATCTCAGAGGTTCAGTCTCTCGGATAAAGAGGAGATCACTTGGAAGCCTGGACAACTCTATCCCCAATCCTATTGAGAGAAGTAAAAGCCCTAGTCTACAGAGTGGCAACGGCAGCTCTAGTGATGATGATGGAAGTTGGGATACAAATAGCTGGAGCTCAGTGGCCACCTGCTTACTACGGACTCCTATTAAGCAAGACAGCAATGAACAGTCTTGCAACACTGATCAGGTGTCCTCTGCTGCTGAGGGTGAGGATGAAATCATTTACCAAAATCTTATCATTTCACGCCCTCCTGCTAAATCTGAAAGCAAAAGAGACCATGATCATGAGAATACTTGCACAACACAAAGGAAAGATGCCGGACTCCAAAATATGTCATCATCAAGCAAAAATGCTTCTTCGGTCTTATTCCATCAGTGTGATGAGAAATCAGAAGACAGGCGCAAGTTCTCACAGTTTCTAAATGAAGTGACTTGTAGGGTCTTAAAATCAAATGGTGGTCCACTTCAGCAACCGTTCATTTTACGACATTGCAATCTAACTCCTCCACCACCTCCACCAACTCCATCTCACACACCACTACATTCTGCCTTAACAAATCCACCGCCACCATCAACATCAACAACAAACTTGTGGTACAGTCCAATCAGTTCGAACCTTCAGCCGATTAAGGAGTGTGACTCCAAAGATATCACAAGTTCCATCCACCAGTGGAGCAAGACATTACCAAGCTGTAGGATCATAGAGCCGAGGGAAGTCCTAAGGAAAGTAAAAGAGGAGACTCACTCACACCCAGAGCCCAACCAAGAGCCATGTCCAAAGATCCAAGCACAAGCCCCTACTGGGAGACATTATCTAGAGACAGACATTGACAGAGTGAGGCAGCTGGATGAACTGGTAGCTAATGGCACCCTTGGGAAAGAGAAAACTGAAAAAGTGCTTGAAGAAGGTATAGGGAGAGTAAAGAAAAGGGAAAGCAGGACTCTGTGGGAGAGAAATGGAGGCTTGGGGATGGAAAAAGAGAAGGAGAGGGAAAAGAGAAAAGAAGCCTCCTGGGAGAGAGACAGAGGAGGTGAGAAAAGGAGGGAAAGGGACAGAAAAAGAGAAAAGCTTTGCTGGGAAAAAGTTAGATGGTCAGAAAGAGGGCGGGAGAAGGAGAAAAAAGTTATTCCTACCTGTTATGAGTCACCTTATCCTCATCTGGCTGCCAGTGGACGGAACAACCCCTGCCCTGTCTTCAGCTGGCCGGAGCAGCAGTTTCCGAGAATGTCCTACAGGTCTACCTCATTGCCCAGACCTCTAAATGTTGCTGTGAGTACATTGCACTACACTTAATTGTTCGTTTGGTAGTTTGGTTTAAAAATACATATATATAGAACAGAGATCATCTAATGTATGTGTTGAAGTTGAAGTTATTTCCTGAATTAATCAGATTTGATTTCCAACATGTGAGGTGTCCCTCAACGCCTCCGTTGGCCATGTCTGCAAACCACCATCTGCTTTTATTAATATGCAATAATGTTCCAGCTGCTGTTTTTGACATGGTATTGAACAGGGTTGCTTTAGCCAAGAATTTATCACCATTTCAAGAGGTATAGTCCAGCAGGAAGTAATTAGCACTATGTCAGTTATGAATAACTACTTCCTGGAAAGCCTGCGTTCTTTAAACTGTGAACAGCTTATGTGAAAACTGCAGAGGATTTTTGCAGTTTGATTCAACACAATCAAACAACACAGCGGATCAAAATGAGGACTGCAGATACACATCCCACATACTTTGAATTTTATTATATGATAGACAGTTATTACATCATGCACACTAACTTTATTTTGCGCTATTGTGAAGATAATTGTTGTGATCATTCTAAGAAATGATCAGTTTGTGTCATGTTTCCTCCTGCAGTAAGAGTAAATGCAGATTGCTGGAAATGAGAAGCCAAATGAATAAGATTACACAAGCCTCTGATGAATTCACTCAGTCTTTATTCAAGGTTTTGATATAGTGTATTGCATCACATTCGTCTTTGTTAGCTGAATATTACTCTTCTCAGACTTATTATGTAGATGTGACTCATTTATGTTTGCTGTTTTGCTTAATTGCATCTGACACATGACCCACTTGCCATACAAAACTAAATCTGAAAACATGATTATTCATTAGCGAGAATCTGAATTATTCTGTGCTGTACATGCACAGGAATGGATGCACATAACATACAGATAGCTCCATAAGTATTTGGACATTTGCTATCCATCTTTTGAATGTTTGGAGGGCAAAAAGATGTTGATGCATTTAAATGAAAAGTAATATAGACCACAGCAATGCTTTGAGAATACCCAGCCATTGAAAATGTGCATTTACCAAGAAAAGATTTGTTCAAACTGCAGCTCATGTTGTGATTTTTAGTCTATGATTGAAAAGAATAGGTATAAGCTTTTGAACAATTACACAAATTCTGTAGTTTTTGCCTCCATACTCCATCACTGGGGATTTAAAGTCGCTGGGGATATGAAGAGCTTTATCAAAAGTGTTGCATCAACAGTCTAGGAGTTACAGTGCCCTATTTTCAGAGGCTTAAAAATAATTGGTCAGTTGAGAAGGTAGTTTCGAGGCCTATTTTCTTGTTGTTCTATGACACATTAAGCAGACAAAATATCTGGAATCAATTTCAAGTGTTGGACTTATATTTTTCAGCTTTTTACTGAAATTCTCAAAATGAGGTCCAAAAAGTTGATGCAAGTGAAGGAGGCCATCATTAGACTGGGGAAAAAATAAAATAAACCTATCAGAAAGGGGCGATCGTGGCTGAAGAGTTGGGAGTTTGCCTTGTAATCGGAAGGTTGCCGGTTCGAGCCCCGGCTCGGACAGTCTCGGTCGTTGTGTCCTTGGGCAAGACACTTCACCTACCGCCTACTGGT